TAAAGTCCCTTTCTCCTCATCTCATGGGACAACCACTGTTAACAGTCTTTTTATCTTCAGACATTTCCTATGCATATGCAAGCAGGTGAGTATATATAGCCATCATTTAAAATGTAACACAGCGAGATCCTTCTCTACATGCTACTCTGCAACTTGCTTTTTCTGTTGAACAATATATCCCAGACATCTTTCTACACACATGTAACTCTCCCTCCTTCTTGCCGGCTGTGGAATGTTTGCTGTAAGAATGCACCACGGCGTGTTTATCCAGAACCGCTGGTTTCTAAGGACCCTTCTGGCTCTCAAGCTCACTGCCCGGCTAAAGAGAAACAACCAGAGGGTGGAGTGGGGTTGGGGGAATATCAGCAGATTGTCAGTTCAGAAAAGCCTGGTGTATGTCGCATCTCTTCAATGAGAGATGAGAATGATTTGGAGAGGGACCAGGAGAAAACGGGAACTCCTGGTCCTGACAATTAGGCCAGGAGCTGCCGGCTTCTGAGGATAGACAAAACAGCTCCCTGGCACAGAGGCGGGGCCACAGACACAAGGCTCTCTGCTAATGCCATGTGACAGGGCTGCAGGGCCCAATAAGTTTTTCCATTTCTTTGTCTTTCCTGAGAGAAGCTCATGATTATCACCTTCTGGGTCACCAGGAGCGGAGCCCCAGAGGGGCAGCACACAGCTCCCGCGATTCCAGCTGGCTCCCATCAAGAAGTTAGAAGGGAGCCTGCAAATACATTTCCTGTTATCATCTCTCCACCCCAGAATGACTTATCCTGGCGGGACTGGGGGAGGGGAGGAGGGCAGTATGCCTCAGGAGAACCTGGGCAGGAATATTAAATACCCCCACCGACTTCCAGGGCGGCAGGGTGGGGATGGCCTCGGCCCAGCTGGGTCCCGGAGGGCCTGAGAGACGGTTGCTGAGCAGTCCGTGGGAAAGACAGATCTTCCGGCAGGGACGGCCCAAGTCCTAATGGAAACATCACCTCGCTGCTGGCAAGGCGCCCCCAGCCCACTGCCCGGGCCCCTCTCGGCTACCTTCAAGGGGATGGGTGCAGCTCGTGGACACCCACTATGTCCAGTGGTGCGCAACCAGCGACATCGCTTTGCTCCAGGACCGGCATTCGTCTCGCTGGATCTAGATAGATAATACAATCTCTCTGCCTACACCCCATTTGCTATGAGACAGCTTGGGCTTCTGAATTTTTTATGGCCTCACTTAGCTTGGAGGAAATCCAGAGGTCAAAGCCAGCGCAGACGCTCCAGTCACCTTGCCCGTCCCGCCGCGCAGCCTTTCCGAAACCGGCTCACCCATGGGGCCCTAAATTACGGCGATTACACTGCAATTCGCGGCGCGGTATTACTTTGATACACTACCTGCTGCAGCCGGGCTGGAGGCGTGCATTATTTACCCGGGAGGCTGCGGGCCGCGCGCCGCCGCCAGCGCTCCGAGAGGCCACCCTGTCCAGGCAGCCCGACCCGCCCGCAGGGTGGGGGTCCTGGGGAAGAGGGGACGGGAGCAGCCACCCTCTCTCTGAGTGACCCTTTCCTGGCTGTAATATAGGCCGGGAGAGGAAGGAGTGGGAGAAGTGGCAGCTGGCGATGAGGTTGGGGGTGGGTGGATGGGAGACGTGCGGAGCCGCGGCTGCTCCTGCTCTCAAGCACACCCCGGTCCCATTTAGCTGGCCTATAGGAGCACTTGTCGCGGGCGTCCCGGGAACCAGCCGGAGGGCGCGCCCAGGGCGCACAGCTGGCTCCCGGACCCTGGCCAACTGCTGGCAGCCCATTAACTCCTTAGCCTGGCTTGGCGATTCGATTCGGCCTGTCCAGCCCAGTGGCAGGATGGAGGGAGATCAGGTACCCCCTTCCCTAGGTCCCTGAAGCCCAGTCTGCCACAGGGAAGCCTGTTTTCACCCTCGCTGGGGGCTGGGGACTGGATTTGAGCAGCCGACTTCTCTCGGGCTCCCCCATTATGGCTTGGCATCAGCATCTAGATTGCAGGTTACTCCTGCTCTTATCCAAAGCAGTCCTTATGGGAGATGGATTTCTGATTGAAATCCAGTCAATTGGTACCGAGGCTGCAAGGCGCAGCATGAGCACACTTCTGGGGAAATTGCCCTGGGTCGGGGAGGAATGGTGGGGGAGGGGATAGGAGCCCCAGACCCTGCTCAGGAGCCTGTGAACAAGCTCTGGTGCGCGGATGGTATTGGTTGATATCTTAGGATTCCCGACAGAGACTCTGCTCTGCTCTTCCAGCTCCTGGGATCCAGGGAGCCCAAAACCTCCAGCGGGGACCCCTAGAGGTTGCTGCATCTAGTCTCTCGCGTCCAGTCAGTGTGTGGTCAGTGGACCCCAGGGGGGGCCCAAGTGGGTGAGATGGGGGTGCCTGTTTTGGGGGGTGAAGGAAGATGACCTGCAGTGGGTCATGGTGGTCATCTGTCCAGATGGGCATTAGTGGTGAACGTCCCCCTTCCTATTCTCCAGGGTTTACCAGCAAACAGGGAGAGGAGCTTGGTACCCGTGGAACATGCCTGGCTGAGGACGGTCCTGCCATTGGTGCTTGGCCGAGGGGTTGCTCCCAGTCTTGGCAGTGTGCCCAGGTTCCTGGTTATTTGCTTCCCCTCCTGGATAGTGCCCCCCTCCAGCCCAGCCCTCCTTCCCCATTAGGGAGTAGCCGAGGAGCCCAGGGGGACATCTCCCACCTGCCCCCACCCCTCCACTTCTCCACATCATCCTGAAAGTCCTCAATGCCAAGGCTCTGGAATCTGGACCGAGCCTTGCCCGCTAGCACAGCCTGGCTTAAAATGCAAAGTCTCGCCCTGCCGGTTTGGCTCAGCAGTTAGAGTGTCGGTCTACAGACCAGAGAGTCCTGGGTTCGGTTCCTGCTAAGGCATGTATCTCGGTTGCACTTTGTCCCCGGCCCTAGTTGGGTCGTGCAGGTGGCAACCACTCGATGTGTCCTTTTCACGTCGATATTTCTCTCTCTCTCCCTCTCCCTCCCACTCTATCTGAACAAAATATGGAAAAATGTCCTTGGGTGAGGATTAAAAAAAATGTCCTCGGGTGAGGATAAAAATAAAAAGCAAAGTCTCCTGGAGGATGGGGTGGGGTGCGCAACACTTTGAATCTCCACTCCCTTCCAGTGGAGTCTGTCAGCCCATCTGATAGCTGGGGAGCTAGGTGTGAGGGGCTCCTGGAAGGAAGCGAAGGCACAGCAGGGTGAAAGATGACATGCTTCTCAGTTGCTCAGAGAGAACGTGGCGTAAGGAAGAGCCATGGAGACTGGAGGGTAACACATTCCTGGTATTCCAGAAAGGCCAGGAGCTCATTCTTTGCTCCTGGGTCAGCAAAGAACACATATATCATATATACACTTGGGACTTGCCTGAGACTAACATAATTTTTAAAAAGGAATCCCAGCTGCTGCAGGAGCAGATGGTGCTGTGGGGACGGACAAGGGCAGGGAAAGGGCACTGGCTTGCAAGTGGGGAGCCCTGGGGTTTTGCCCCACCCCTGCCCTCACCACCCGTGTGACTGCGGGCAAGTCACTGCCCGCTCTGGCCCAGGTTCTCTGGTGAAGAATGAATGGGTCCCCTGCAGTGAGCTGGGTGAGCTGAGGCCTTGCTCCCCTGATGCAGTGAGGACGGAACACTACGCTGGTCAGCGGGGAAGATTTAGCTCCTATTTATGTGTCCATCCTGCTGCAGACAGTGGGGAAGTCTCCCAGGCCTGCAGCAGCAGCGCTGTGTTCATCCCTCCCTGTCCTGGCTGTTCCGTGGTCTCCCTGGCTGTGGCTGGGTCCCTCCTGCCCACGTGCCTCTGGCCCCTCCCTGTGGCTAACAGCTCTAGGGGTGAGGGTGGATGAGGTGAGAACCTCCCCACCGCGCACTGACTCGGGTTTGGACAGCAGGCCACCTAGTCCAACTGTCCCCCAGGGCTTCAGGCCCTTCCTCAGAAGTCACCTCTGAGTGGGAGGCTCACCACCTCCCAGTAATCTGCTCTCTTAGAAAGTTTATCCTTTTCCAGAGCCAAAACCAGGTCCCCTGTGTCACCTCCCCTTAAGTCTAGTTCTTCACAGGAGTGAGTTCTGCAGGAGTCAGAGGACAGCCCTGCTGGCATTTCAGGGCAGCCATCCTCCATGTACCCCACCCGTCATCTGGGGCGAACCCTGCCCAGCGTCCCCACGTCCCCACGCGGCTGCTTCCCAGTGGCCTCGTGATCTTAGCTCAGATAAGAACTGATTGAGCTTCTAGGCTGACAGCCGAATCCCTGACCTTCAGGGAGCTCCCAGTTGGGGACACAGTCTTCCTAGGACCAAAGCAACAAATGACAAAATTACACAGGCATCTGGGGCTCTTGGATTTCCAGCTGGCAATGGCCAGTTTCTAGGCTGCTGGTCTAGAAACATCCTCAGAGGTCAGTGGGTTTAGTCAAGTCAACCAGGAAGAAGAAGTTTCTAGTTCTCTCTGAAACATTCCTCCTGCCCTTTCTCTGAGAGGGTGTGATCCTCAGGGCTCCCGGGGGGCTGGGCCTGCTCCGGCACCCCACTCCCACCCTCCACCAGGAGGGAGAAAGCGAGAGTGGGAGAGAATGCTCCCTTCACTTCTCCCCTCCCCCACCTAGCTCTCCTGGGACGGGACCTACGGGCTCTGTACCACAGAAGTACAGGGTCCAAGGAATCCGCCTCAGCATCTCAGGCCTCAGCACTGCCATGATTTCGCCTGACTCCTGGGTGTTCCTGCAGGAGCTGGTCTTCGCTGGCAGAGTGGGCCTCCCATCTAGTCCTCCTCCACCTCCCCGAGCTCGTAATTTGTTACTAACTCTGGAACTGACTGAAATTACAGAGGACCATGTTGTTTTTTCCCAGGCATCTCTTACGGTCCCCGAGGGGAGGGGAGCGGAGAGCACCTGATACACAAATGTGCTGTGAAGCCCTGCGGATCTGCCGGATTTGCCGCTCTGGCAGGGGAAGGAAATTAGTGTAATAAGCTGCTGTCACCTCACCCGAAAGCCTCCAACGCAGACCTTCGCAGGAGCTCCTGGGTCCCGTCCTCCGCTCTCCCCTGCCTGGCCGCCTCGGTCCTCACGTCCCCCTGCAGGACAGTGGCCTCCTTCCCACCTGGTCCTGTGACATCATTGATGGGGATCATCAGTGTCCTCCACACCTGGGAGGAGGAGGAGGCGGCCACAGGCACAAAGAAGCTGTTCCTGGCCTCTCCCGAAGCAATTACCTTGACTGGTAGGAGAAGCAGGTGGGAGTCAATTTTCATTCTCCTAGAATTACTGGAAGAGAGGGGGTTATTTGGAAGTTTCTGAGAGGTGAAAGGCATTCATTGGCCTTCAAATAAAAGGATCAATAGGTATCCGGCCTTTCCTTTTCCTCTCCTGAGAACCAAGGGCTAAAACCCGTAAGGGACTACCCCATAGCAGCAGCGGCACTGGGGCAGAAAACAGACCTAGGCTGTGGCTGGGGCGATGAAAGGAGCTGGTTCTAATCCTCCTCTACCTGCCCCAACTGGCTAACAACGTGGCCCAACACAATCTGGCCTCTGGCTTCCTCTCTGGCTTCTAGTGCAAAGAACATAATTCACTCATGTGGCAGATGTGATCTAGTGTTCATTGAACTGAGTGGGTTAGGTTTTCTTGCTAACTTGCTGTGTGACCTCTGACAAGACACCTAACCTCTCTGGGCTCCAAGTTTATTTGTATATGAAAGGAGAACACTGAGATGAGTGTGCCATTCCTGGGAGGCTGGGGAGTTTTATAACTGTGACCCAAACACACTTTCTGCCATGTCCACCAGGCAGCGTGATGTGCTGTCTGCAAGGAAAGTTTTATATCCAAAGGGATAATCATGATTTTTCACAACTGTTATCTTTGTGATTTAAAACCGAGACACATCGATTGGTTGCCTCCCGTGTGACCCCTACCGGGGCTGGGGATTGAATCTCCAACCCAGGCACTTGCCCTTGACCGGAATCGAACCTGCAACCCTTCAGTCCATGGGCCAATGCTCTAATCACTGCGAAAACCAGCCAGGGCCCAATATCTTTTTTCCTTTCTTTAAAATGTGCTATCCACCCCCTCTTCCCCCTGCCTCCGGAGATACGGTGGGATGTGGTGGTGAAGAACTTGAGCTCAGGAGCCTGACTACTTAGCTGTGAATCCTGGCTTGGCCACCTACCAGCTGTGTGACCTTAAGCATGGTCCTTAACCTCTCTGCCTCAGTTTTCTCATCTATAAAGTGGGGGGAAGTGATATATCCCAAAGTTGTGACCTGAAGGGCTGGCTGTGCATAGTAAATGCATACTGGTAAGTGCTGGGTGTTATAACTGGAATCACAGAATGCCTTCAACTGCTTCTCAGGGAAGGTGAGCTCTTTGTGTTTATCATGTTGGGTCCTGAATCTTTGCTAGATGATCGATTAGAAACATACACTATCTGAAATCCTGAGGACCACCCACAGGATGGTGTTTAAGGTATGCTTCCAGCTAGAGTGTTGGGGATGTGATGTATGTTCCTGGTTAATAGAATATTCTGGTTAACCCGTTGCTTTTAGTTTCATTCCCTTTGCAGTCGGAAATTTATTTGAAATGCACAGACCCCTTCCCTTGCTTTAGTCAGCAGGGTGATTAATATTCCTTCCTGTGAAGGCCTCAAGATATTATTGGAAAGAGCTAGGCTAGGCTATGGGAAGTCTGCAACTGCCTGCACCCCTGACTTCTGCATTTTCCAGTGGGGTTCATGGCACCTGGAGGAATTGAGGGTACCCCAGAGTGTGCATCATCCTTACCAGGGATCCTCTGACCCCAGGAAGCCCACTTCCGGGACAAGAAGTCCCCTTATTCCAGACCACTGGAGGGGAGGCCCAGGAGATGGCTGGCCTTAGGGTGCTGAGCCTGGGACTTCACCCCAAGAAATGGGATGTTTTATTTATTTGCATTTATCTTTAGACAGAGTGGGAGGGAGAGAGAGAGGAAGAGAGAGAGAGAAACATCGATGTGAGAGAGGCACATCGACCAGTCGCCACCCACATGACCCAACCAGGGCTGGGGACAAACTGCAACCGAGGTACGTGCCCTTAGGGGGAACCGAACTTGGACCTCTCTGGTCCATAGGCCGAGGCTCTAACTGCTGAGCCAAACTGGCCAGGGCTTTGTTTTTTATTTTTTATGTTCGTTTCTGATCTCGCTTTATCTGAATTCAAACATAAATCCATGCAAGGAGCAGTCCTGTGAGCTGAAACTGCAGGCTGGATGTGTGTGCAGAAAGCCTGCAGCGTGTGCTGTGGCATCTACGTGCGCCCGACCCTGACCAGCGTCGTCCAGAGGTCATCCTCACGTCCGGTCAGTACCGCGTGCATGTTGGATGTAGACGTTCATTCACTGGACAAGAACTTATGGAAACACAGCCAGATGTCATTCTGGGGCTGGGGAGACAGCGGTGAATGGAACAAGGTCTGTGCCCTCGTGAGACCCACTCAGTGGGGAGAGCCCGGCACTAAATGGAGAGAGAAATACGGGGTTAGGTTGTGATGATCCCTGGAGGGAGGTGCCACGGCGATGTGTGGGGACTCGGGGCTGAGGGCACTTCTGTGGGATGGTCAGGACAGGACAGATTCTGCTTAATGGGCATCTGTATTGTCCTAAGTCCTTTCTCCTCACTGGAACTACCACTACCACACATAATAATAATGCCAGCAGTTAACAGGCGCTGCGCACTTGCTGGTACCACACCCTGTTCGGAATGGTTTATAGGAATTGATTCATCTAATCTCCCCAACAGCTCCATGAGGAGGGTATTGTTACCCCCACTTTACAGGTGAGGAAATTGAGGTACAGAGAGGTGAAGGAATTAACCCTGGATTTGAGGGTTCTGGCAGATTTATGAATACTGTTGCTTTGGGGGCTACAGTATAAGTATTTGAACTGTCCCTTAAGTAGTTACACCCACTAAGCAGACTTTATTAAATTTGACCCATTTTCCAAATGCATTTGGTAATTATAGGGGTTTTTTTTGGTTAATCCTCACTTAAGGATATTTTTTTCCATTGATTTTTAGAGAGAGTGGATGGGAGGGAGGGAGATAGAGAGAGAGATCTATGTGAGAGACACATCAATTGGTTGCCTCCCACACAAACCCCAACCAGGGCCAGGATTGAACCTGCAACACTTTGGTTCGTAGGCCAAAGCTCTAACCACTGCTCCATACCAGCCAGGGTGGTAATTGTAGGTTTTATTTCATTTTACTGAGCAGGACTTCCCTGGGAATTGGAAAGCTGGTGATTCCGGGAGGTTGTGGCTTCCAGGGCTTAGAGGTAGCCCAGAGCGGAGGGACAGGCAAACTGCGGAGGCTGCACAGACCATCGGGCCCAGGTCACTGACTTTGTAGATGGAGACAGTGAGTCACCCAGAGGTGTGTGCGCACACAGACACATCACACATGCACGTGCACACACCGCACACACATACATGTGATATATTCACGCACACACATCACACACGCACACATCTCACTTTGGGTCCCCCTCCCTCCAGCCTCTCGTACATTTTGAGGAGTGTGTCAGGTTCTGTAAGAGGAACCAAGCGCGGTGTCCAACACGTTCTGGCCTATTCACCCAGGACACCGCAGCTTTGGAGGCAGCGAGCATGCCCATTTGTTACTATTTGCAAAGAAGGTGTATGCCAAACACACGCTTTGTGCAAACAAATGAAAAAGTAATAAAGTGGCTCCGTCTGCATACTCGAGCACGGTGCTTCCGTTTTAATGGAGCTTGCTAACGCGAGGCCATCCTGATGGCTTGTCAAACATGCAGCCCATGGCTAAACACGAAAGCGCGCTGTCATCGGCGGGGCACCTGCCGTGTGCGATGGGGCTGCTGGGGAGCTGGCCCAGCCCCTGGCCCGCCTGCTGTGCTAGGGGGGCCTGACACCGTGTGCACCAACATTGAAATGCCATGTCAGACGTCACCAGGTGAACCACATGAGACACATGAACAGTAATACAAGTACAGTCGTCCAGGACCCTCCACAGATACCAAAGTCCACGGATGCTCAAGTCCCTATATAAAATGGTGTAGTATTTGCATATAAACTATGCACATCCTCCCCTATACTTTAAATCATCTCTAGATTACTTGTAATATCTAATACAATATAAATATTATGTAAATTTTTCTACTGTATTGTTCAGGGATCAAGTAGTCTGCAGCTGATTGAATCTGAAGATGTTGAACCTGTGGATACGGAGGGCCGACTGTAATAATATTTAATCAGTATTTTCTATATATCGGGGTGCTGAATATCATCAGTCTGCTCCTCCAAATCCACTGTCTGTCCTCTTCCGCCATGGGGAGGCTGGGCTCTGTGGATTGCGTATTGGGCTCCTGGGACTTCCCCTGGCTGGCACTGCCTGGTGGGAGGTACCACTGGGCGAGAGGAGGGGAGGGAGTGAGGGGAGGCAGGTCTTTGGGATGCGGTGGCTGCTCAGTGCTCGTGGTGTCTGTCTCAGCCCCTCTCCTACAGCACAGTCTGTCTCCGGACTCCCATGACCGCTTCCTACCCATGCCCCTCAAGGCCCAGGGTGCTAACAGTGCCGTGTTGCCAGCCCTGGGGTCCTGCGCTATCCCTTACTGTTTCATTCAACTCTGCCCGCATCTGTGCAAACAGCCCCTCGCCTCAGTGGTTTTCTGCCAGGACCCAGATGAACACAAACAGCCTGAGCGACATCTCAGAACAACTCCCAAGTAGCCCCATTTACAGATGAGGACACTGAGGTGCAACTTGCCCAAGGCGGAGCAGGTGGCAGAATTTGAACTCAATCTGTCAGTCGAGAGAGATGTGCTCTTAATCACTGCCTTGCCTGCTGGAACGGAAGAGCGACTCTGATCCCGTTTACCTTCAGCACCTTCGAGACTGGCCCCTGTCACGCCACCACGAAACATGCCCTTGTTAACGAACATTTCTGGAGCACCCACTATGGGCCAACGCTCAACCCACTGAGCCATACTGGCCGGTCATGTTCTGTTTTATTTTTTCAATCCTCACCTGAGGATATATATATTTTTTTATCCTCACCTGAGGACATTTTTGCATTTATCTTCAGATAGAGCAGAAGGGAGAGAAGGAGGAGGAGAAAGAGAGAAACATTGATGTGAGAGAGACAC